GATATTTGGGATCGAGGTTTGCAGACTATGCAAGTTAGATGGCGCATCGTTCAAGAGGACTGATAGACGAACCTTTCATCGATCACAAATCCTCCACGCTCACCACACTGGATTCCAATGTCTCGACCAAGTTCATCTCGCGGTTGAACTCCAATCTATACCCCAGTCAGTATATCCATCACCAAACGCCAAGAAACAAGGACGCATACCGCAAAGCAAATACAACAACACTCAATGCTCTCACCATCCTCGAAAGTAATTCCAGTCACGTTATTCCCGTCGTCAGTATGCACAATCTTCACCCGTTTCTGGTGGAGAACATCAAGTCCCAATTCCTGGATCTTGCGAGTGACCAACGTCCCCGCATCTCCATCAAGCTGTCGCGCTAGGACCCATTTATTCCGATCGATCAATTTGACATTTCCGAAGTCCTCCAGATCTGTCATCGCTTTCGCGGCTTCTAAGCCTAGCAGTCCGCCTCCGATTGTGACAGCGGTTTGGCCCTTATGCTGAGCTGCAAAGTCGATGAGGCGTTCCAGGTCTGAGATAGTTCGATAGACGAAGACGCCTTTGGCATCGTGACCGGGGGTGTGTGTTGGGAGGGTGGCATCGGAGCCTGTTGCGAGGACGAGGATGTCATAGTTTATTGTGACACCGGTGGAGGTTTGGACGGTTTTGTCGGTGGGATTGATTGATGTTACTCGTGTGTTGAGGTGATGATCGAAGGCTCGCTCTTTGAACGAGTCATACTAGGAACGGTTGTTTATTAGGGCTTATGCTTTCTCCATTCTTTGAACAATTGGACGGCTTACCCATTCCGTTGGATTGAGGTATAGATCCTCAATCTTGCGATGTTCGAAAAATGTCGAAAGTCCAACACGATTGTATGCTACGTGAGCCTCTTCACCGATGACAAGAATATCGTACTTTTGTTCTGTATCCTGCTTGATAATCTTCTCACTGGTTGTTGTTAGAGGAATTTCTCATGTCCGTTGTTGGAATCCCTTACATGAGTGAAATAGCCACCATTCCAAGTCCAACTATTACAATCTTCTGTCGCTGGGCATGGTTCGCAGGACTAGGGCTGCCATCAACTGGCTCCCCATATCGTAAACCATCCAACACAGGCATGGCTGAGACTGAACAATGTGAGATGAGTATGATACAAGCACTGACTACGGAACACGGCAGTCATTTTAATTTTAAGAAAACTAAATCCCTCGTTCCACTCAGCTTGATACAACATGATCTGTGACACTACAGGGTGAGTCGTATGAATCAACGAATGGGGGCTAATCAGAGGTGAAGCCGGAAAAAACAGGAACGGCCCATATCGATAGTTTGATCTCCGCGGAGATGATGGTTTCACGTCGACTGTGATTGGCTGTTAGGGCTGCAGGCTTATCTCGACGTACTGATAAGAATGAACAATCTACATGACTTGGCTTTAATGAAATTCTGATATTAGAAAAATTGTGGAGGAATGTGGATTAGAAGGCGATTTTGAACCCGCGGAGATCCAGGAAGTCCTTGATGATCAGATTGGATGACGGGGCTGAGGGTCACTGAGGGTCTTAGGCCTCAATGCTGCTATTCGCAGTCAAATGTGGATATTTTACACGTTAAGAACCGTTTCGATTTATTCTACTCAGTCTTTAGTTTTTATCGAGTTACTTGTCTTATTCTGGAAGAAACTTCCACCCTGTTTATTATATACCTACAAATTTGATAGCCCAAGCAGCGTAGGAGCCTCGCCTCGGCATCATCATGGCCAGCATAACCACACAAACGATAACAGAATCCGAGACAATCTCTTTCAAAAATGGCCAAATCACAGTTGAGGACATCATTCCAAGTCCAGGGGAGCCCGACATCCCACTTCCACCACCATCAAAGAACCCCGTCGACATCTTGGATGTGGATAAACGCACACCGGATAACCATGTACCTCGCGATCCACGATTGATTCGGTTGACGGGAGTTCATCCATTCAATGTGGAACCACCATTGACAGCATTGTATAAAGAAGGTATGGTATCCATTCCCATCTGTTATACCGAAGCCGACAAGCTAAGTCGATACCAAAGGATTTCTCACATCCCCGGAACTGTTCTATGTCCGGAACCACGGGCCAGTGCCCCAGGTCCGCGATGAGGATATCCCCGATTGGGAGATTAGTATAGAAGGGTGAGTGCGATCGGAATCATACTTGCATGTTTCGGGTCCCGGGTAACTGATGGATGAGCTAGGTTGGTTGAGAAACCATTAGTCCTGAACTTCCGAGAAGTGCTTCAGAAGTACAACCAGATCACCGCACCAATCACACTCGTCTGTGCGGGCAACAGACGTAAAGAACAGAACACAGTCCGGAAGTCCAAGGGCTTCTCATGGGGTCCGGCTGGTTTATCGACGGCGCTATTCACAGGACCTATGATGGCGGATATTCTGCGCAGTGCGAAGCCACTTCGAGGAGCAAAGTATGTCTGTATGGAGGGTGCTGATAAACTGGTGAGACTGCCCTATATCATGTTCTGAGGGTGCCAGGAACCATCCCCGAGCTGAGACTAACACATCCCATAGCCGAATGGATTTTATGGAACTTCAGTCAAATTGAACTGGGCCATGGACCCAAATCGAGGAATCATGTTAGCTCATAAGATGAATGGCGAAGACCTTCGACCAGACCATGGCCGTCCTTTGAGGGCAGTGGTGCCTGGCCAAATCGGAGGTCGAAGCGTGAAGTGGCTGAAGAAGTTGATATTGACTGATGCCCCCAGTGATAACTGGTATCATATCAATGACAACCGGGTGCTCCCGTAAGTCCTACAATATACAATCGCGCATTGACCTCTGCTAACAGTGCCAGGACAATGGTGTCACCGGAGATGTCCGCCCTGGATCGCAAGTGGTGGACCGATGAGCGATATGCTATTTATGAACTCAACGTGAATTCGGTTGCTGTGTATCCACAGCACGAGGAAGAGATCGATTTATCCACAGCCGGACCCACGTACACAGTCAAAGGATATGCATACGCCGGCGGTGGCCGGAGAATAACAAAGGTTGAGATTTCTCTAGACAGAGGCAAAAGTATTTACACCCCGGACTCAAGGATGGAACGTGGCTAACGTCTGTGATCCTCTAGCATGGCGCCTCTCCGAGATTGAATACGCAGAAGATAAATACCGCGACTTTGACGGCGACCTGTTCGGCGGCAAGGTAGACATGTGGTGGAGGGAAGCATCTTTCTGCTGGTCTTTCTGGTCACTGGATGTCCCAGTGACAGACCTAGAGACTAGCGATGCAATCCTAGTCCGTGCAGTGGACGAGGCGCTGAGTGCCATGCCGCGTGACATGTACTGGTCTGTCCTGGGCATGATGAATAACCCATGGTTCAGAGTGGCAATCACAAAAGAAGGAAATACGTTGAAATTTGAGCATCCCACACACCCATCCAAAGCCGGAGGGTGGATGGAAAGAGTCAAGAAGACTGGTGGTGACTTGCTCAATGGTAACTGGGGTGAAAGGGTTGAAGGTGAGGAGCTCGTCGAGCCTGAGCCCGTGAAGGAAATAAACATGAAGAAGGACGGCGTGAACAGATCAATCGACTTGCAAGAGCTGAAGGCTAATAGCACCAGCGAGAAGCCCTGGTTTGTTGTCAATGGCGAAGTGTATGATGGTACAGGCTTCCTCGAAGGTCATCCCGGAGGAGCGATCAGTATCACATCTTCTGCTGGTTTGGATGTATCTGAAGACTTCCTTGCAATCCGTGAGTCACAATTAAAATATAATCACACTATTGCACCGCTAACTTTCTCCCAGACAGTGAAACTGCCAAGGCAATGATGCCGGATTACCATATTGGCACATTAGACAAGGCATCTCTCGAAGCGCTGAAGAGCGATACAGCCGCGAGTTCTGATGAGCCACGTGAAGTGTTCCTTCAGTCGCGAACATGGACAAAAGCCACCCTCACAGAGAAGAGGGATGTGTCCTGGGATACACGGATATTCGTATTCGACCTGGAACATAAGAGGCAGACTCTTGGCCTACCAATCGGCCAGCATCTGATGATCAAAGTCCAAGATCCATCCAATCACGAGGCAATCATCAGATCCTATACACCAATCTCAGACACAAACCTGATAGGCAAAATGGAGTTACTCGTGAAGGTCTACTTCCCAACGGATAGCATTCCAGGAGGGAAAATGACTATGGCTCTCGACAAGCTTCCGCTCGGCTCAGAGATTGACTGCAAGGGCCCGACAGGCCGATTTGAATATCTCGGCAACGGCCGGGTCTCAATCAGCGGCAAAGAGCGCCAGCTTCGCTCTTTCAAGATGATCTGTGGAGGAACTGGCATCACACCAGTCTTCCAGGTTCTCCGGGCTGTCATGCAAGACACGCAAGATCCCACGACGTGTGTTGTGCTAGACGGAAATAGGCAGGAGGAAGATATCTTGTGTCGTTCTGATCTTGATGTTTATGTGGAGACCGATTCTCGGAAATGTACTGTCGTGCATACGTTGACTAAAGGGTCTGATACCTGGACTGGTCGTCGGGGCCGCATTTCCGAGGAACTTCTCGCGGAGTATGCCGCTCCAGAAGAGCAGAGTATGGTTCTGGTCTGCGGGCCTGGGCCTATGGAGAAGTCTGCTCGCAACATTCTTCTTGCCCAAGGCTGGGCCGAGTCGGATCTTCACTTCTTCTAGGTTTTGTGCGAGCTTGGATTATTTCTATTTTGCACATTAGAGCACGAAACGTTTGGAGTTTGAGCTGTACATTAATAATGAGTATGAGGCAGATAACATGCGAGCGAGAAGGGTATAAAGACATTGCGCTTTCATTTGCAAAGAAACGAAGTGAATTTTGAAGAATCTCGTCAATCATAAATCATAACATGTCCAAGCAGTACGCATAGGACAGTGATAGAAGCTCTAGGTCAGGTCCAATGGGTCGTTCTATGCACGTTCTGAATATGCAGTAACCGCTTCCTTCGGTCAATAGTAGTTCTTCACGTCTAATCTCACCCGTAGATGCTCAAAGACACTGGTTGGGTCTGTCTGCCAAGAGAAGAATTCCCCTGATTTGGCCATTGATTTCGAAGTGGCCTTTCCGGACTCCAGGCTGCGCAGGTAATTAACAAAGGCGGAGGTCTGTTTTCTAAAAGACTGGTACAGGTGGAGAACAGCTCCTTCGCTTTCGTTACGCATCCCGATTCCATCTGCTCTTGATAGAAGGCTGAAGCCGAGAATGGTGCCAAAAATGGATTCAAGCAGTTTGGCCGCCTGCGCATGGCGCCTGCTGAGGAATAACGCGAACAGCATCTGGTCAAGCATGTCTTCGTGATAATCACGAAGTCGTGGTACTGAGTGCGCCGCTTCAATCGTACCATCAATGTCACCGCGGTTGAGGTAGTGCTCGATCTTGGTAAGTGTGTTTTGGAAGCGCTGCCAGATGGATCCGATGCCAATATGGAAGCAGTAATCACTGACCGCTAGCACAAAGTGCTGGGCATCCACCCTAAATTTCTGGTATACATCGTGTGAGTCTCCTGCTAGAGATTCTCGAGCAGTAGAATCCCGGATAAGTCCTTTGACGGCAGAAACCATGCGGATTAACCGAAGCAAATGCTTGAAGAGACGATCATACTTATTCAAAGAGCGGGCAGTAATGAGAGATTCAAGGACTTCTGGCGGCGTGTACTGCAGACGAAGGAAGTCCAAAGCCTCTATTGCATTTGGATTTTTACATCTTTCGATTTCTTCGTCTGTCAGTTCTCGAATTCCGAAGCTCAGGCCGCCAGGCAACTCGTTATCCTTTTGAATGTGGGTTTTCTCGTCATCCTCTGTGTTTGTGCTGCCGAAGTAACAATCTCCTAGCAGGCCAATCAACACGAGTCGCAACTCCGAACTAGCTGGAGGCCATGTGTCACGACTGCCGAGTCGTAAGCCGGTGTCAACACCACTGCGCACTTTCCCAGCCTTTCGCTCTCCACTTTCCATTTCCGGGTCGAATAGAGAATTAGAAAGGCGGGCGACAAATGAGCCCTCTCCCAGCAACTGGAAGCGCCATTGCATGTTCAGGTGATGGCGAATTCGATGCTCTTTGAAGAGAAGGTGCAGGCAAGAGTAGTCGATGAGAAGTGCCTGCGACGAAATAATTGGTGCAAGAGATAGATGGAGGCCAGATGCCAATTCAGGACCGAGATAACTTGCTGCATTGGTGTTTTCGGTTTCAACTCCCCGGGCTTTCTCAAGCAATTGCTTAAAATCGTCTTTTGAAAAAGCCTTGTGATCTGTAACCGGCCCTAGAGCATTTTTTTCATCATCTATGTTGAAGAGTTCAAAGGCTGCCGTTGTAACTTCTGTATCGGCCATTTGATCGAGACCCTGGGTGACGACATTTGACGGCGAATCCTGCAAGCCTAAATCACCTTTATGATATCTCTTGATCTCATCGCGGAGCCTTGACTCGTACTCCAGGGCTTTTGTTTGAATTTGCTCAATATCAGCCCAAGTGGTCGCACAATGCAGATGAAGGCCACCAGTTCGTAAGAGAACATCACGCCGTGCGATGGGATGACGAGGGTGGGATCGTTTCAATAGTTGAAGGCTTCGCCCACTTTCAAAGATGGAACGGGCTTGGTCGGCCGGGATGAAAGACGGCATGTGGTCCACTTGATAGATGTGGTCGATTCGTGCTGGCCCAGTCTTGAACTTGACAGCATCATGAGTATTCAGTCGGACGAAGGTTTTGCCGCTTGCCATGGATGCTTTGAGAGCTGCGTCTTCGGGTCTAAGCCCAATCCAAGTCTCGATGAATTTGAACCATGGCCGAGTCACTCGAATCACAATCTCATGCACAAGGTTCTCCATCCAGCTAAACTTCTGAGCAAAAAAGGCTGCACGGTCGATAACAATTGACATAACTTGCGCGTCCGAGACAGCCCTTAGTGCAGCACCAACAATACCTGCTAGGGCACCTATCAAGTCCCCGCAGCGGTGAAATAATGCCTTTATTTGCAGGAGTGAGGCAATATTTTTTGACTGATCGGAGATCTGTTGCTCAAGGTTGAAGAGTATTACAGCAACCGTGCTGCTTAATGAGAACAAAGCAGACAGTTCTTTGCATTTGGCTGGCGGGTCTTGCGCAAACAACCGCATACGCTGCATGTTGGTACCACATTGTAGCACATATTCAATCACATTTTCCAATGCCAATGAGCTAATACCAGAAATCCGGATATCTTTCAAATGTCTTTCAAATTGGTTGGTGCGTTGCTCATAGCGAAAGAATGCAGAGCTCCAGCCAAGCCCGAGACGAAGCAGTGATCGAATGAACACATCTGTTCTAACCATTCGAGTTGGTACACCATTTCTCTTTGCAGTATTTTGCTGTGCCAAAACTGCATCGAATCCCGTTGGACCAGATTCACTAAAGTAGACAGACACAGGCTCTTGGAAAGACCTGTGTTGATACCTCTCCCATGATTTCTGTGGAGGTATTTGACCGGGGTCTTCCAGAAGTAAATCCGAGGACCATATATCATTGTCATCGCCAGAGATGTCTCTTAACGAATCACAGGTGGCGTCAGACTCGCCGTCTATGGAGGGATTGATGATCGACTCGGTAAATGATTCAGGCCTGTCCAAGCCGGTTGGAAAGAGATCCAGCTTCCATACAGGGTCGATCTTATCTGTGGGCTGCGGGTATATCTCAAAGCAAGATGTAGTATCATCTATAAGAAAGAGTGTTATTGAAGGTTCTAGGGAATCTGCGATTGACACTTACCACTTAGAGTAGTGTTCCATGGCACCGATCCCAATGGCTGTAGAGCTTCTATGCTGAATTTGGAGAGTCTCCAGAGGCTTTCACTGGAGAAAGGATCCAGCTCATGATCACAATCCATAGTGAGACCATGCTCAGATGAGCGAGATGTTTGACGCGTAAAAGTTCCCAGGTCCCGCGACGGAGATGGCTATCGTCGTGCACAGACCCTTGATAACAGAAAGTGCCCTCGCCTTACTCCAAGTTCAACCATTACCTCCCCTCTCCAATTTCAATATTTCCTACCTCCTGTGGTCCTCAAACATTACACCTAAACTACAATGCCTCCAAGAAAAAAGACCAAGCGTGCGCACTCGCCTACACCCCAAGAGGATACCGTGGCGGAGTCGAGCGCAAACACTCCGTCAAGCGACAGCGTTGGCAAGTCAGACACGGACTACGACCTCATCACAGATCCCTGGACAGACGAACAAGAAACTGCGCTCCTCAAAGCGATCATAAAATGGAAGCCAGTCGGTGAGTTCAATTCCCATCTCTCTTGAGTCGGCAACGCAGCTAACCGTCTCGGCCCATAGGCCTACACAAACACTTTCGGATGCTCGCAATCTCGGATTACCTCAAGAGCCAAGGATACGCACCCTCCACAGCGGAACATATGCGCATTCCAGGGATCTGGAAGAAGCTAGGGTCATTATACAACTTGGAAGCTCTTGACGAGCGGGTAAGCTTTGATCGATGCTTTGTCCGCGCTGGTTCATTTTGCTGATTAGTGATACCTTCACAGGAAGATTCAGTGATCACCGATGTCAACGAAGACGACGAAGGATCTGGCGAGATGTATTGCACATTTGAGCTCCCGTATGACGAGTACGGCGATATGATGTTTGAAAGGAGGCTTGCGATGGAAGAGTCGTTGTCGCCAGTTACTAGTCGTGCCAGTCGTGCAGGCGGATCGCGGCGAGGAAGCACAGTCGCAGATACAGATGGTAAGGGGTGATATGATTTACAGCCTGGCATACAACCCATAAACTGACCTCTTGCCCGCCACAGAACCACGGTCTTCTCCTGCCCCGTCTCGGGGTCGCATATCCCGTCCCTCCACCCGTGGAACACGCTCAACTCGGCTGCAGGTGGAAATTGGCCCCGGGAGTCAAGGCAAAGTATCAGACGAGGGGGGTGATTCGGCAGAAGACACTGGTGCGAATGATGAGGATGAGGAGGAGGGTGAGGAGGGCGATGAGGGCATTAGCGACGAGGATGAGGGCGAGGGCGAAAAAGGTGGTTCGCGGAGCACCCGAGCGCAGACATCTCGATCCAAAGCCAAAGAGAACAGGCCATCGACTGGCACTGCGACACGCAGGACTGCCCGACGGCGTTAACATGGCCAAGTTTTCGATGTGGGCTTTGAACATTGATACCTATGGAGTTTGAGGGTTGGCGTTCTCTTTTGTTTTAGTGATGTGTATGACTATGCAGACATCTTGTGCCCTATTGCTACAGTAGCAGAACCAATCAATCTACGATACCAATCCACCAAGACATGATTGAAGGAGGTCCAAGGTTGTTTGAGATGAGGCGCCTCCAGGTAACCAAAAGTAGGTATATTTCGATCGCTATAGCTCTAATGTCGTTCGAAGGGTACAAAGGGAATAGATCAGGGGGTCATAGTACAAGGAATGTCAGCAGCGCTTGATTTACAGGCGCTTGATGATAGCTCCAGCGTACTCGTGGGTCTTGGACTTGCCGCCAAGATCACCGGTGAGGGTCTAAAGGTCACGCAGTTAGCAATGTGCGGTAGTTATAGGAATAATTGTAAAAGCTCACCTTGCCCTCGGCGAGAGTATCGAAGATGGCCTTCTGGATGCGGTTAGCGTGGTCGTGGAGACCCATGTGCTGCAGCATCATGATACTGCTAAGAAGCATAGCAGTGGGGTTGGCGAGGCCCTTGCCGGCGATATCGGGGGCGGAGCCGTGGACGGCCTCGAAGATGGAGCATTCGTCACCAATGTTACCGGAGGGGGTGAGACCGAGACCACCGATCAGACCGGCGCACATATCGGACAGAATGTCACCGTACAGGTTGGGCATAACGAGGACCTTGTCGTTGTAAGGGGTAGGGTCGGTGACGATACGCAGGCATGAGTTGTCCAGCAGCTCAGCGTCGAACTCAATATCGGGGAATTCCTTGGCGATCTCACGGGCGGTGTTGAGGAACAGACCATCGGACATCTTCATGATGGTGGCCTTGTGGACAACACGGACCTTCTTCTTGTTGATGGACTGCGCGTACTGGAAGGCGAAACGGAGGACACGCTCGGAAGCTTCGCGGGTGATGAGCTTGATGCTCTGCACGACACCGTCGACGACAACGTGCTCAATACCGGAGTATTCACCCTCGGTGTTCTCGCGGATGAGAACAGTGTCGACGTTGTCGTAGGGGGTCTTGTAGCCAGCAATGGAACGGCAAGGACGCAGGTTGGCGAACAGGTTGAAAGTACGGCGGAGAGTCAGGTTCAGGGAGACGTGACCCTTGCCAACGGGGGTCTGGAAAAGCGGAGTTTAGTGTCGCAGTCCAGATGCGGGACATATGTGGGGAATTTGAGGCCGGAACATACAGCGAGAGGACCCTTGAGGGCGACGTAGTTGCGGCGCACACTGGCAATTGCATCGTCGGGAATGGCGGTCTTGCCATCCTTGAGGATAGGGGTGACATCAACGGATTCCCACTTGATGGGGGCCTATTATTGACTTAGTATTTTGACCGCGTGGAAGAGTTTGAGATGTTGCGAAATCGCTACCTTTGCGGCCTCGAAGATGTCCTTAATGGACTGAGAGATCTCAGGACCAATACCATCACCCTCAATCAGAGTAACAGTGTACTTGCCCTATTTTAAAAGATCAATTAGCATTGTCATAATTATACACGTGGTGATGTTCTCGACTTATGGTCGGGGTGGGCTGCGCGGCTGGCACCGGCATAGAGAAGAAAAACGGGTTCGGGAGGGGAGAAAAACGTACATCAGGACCCTTCTGACCCTTGAACTTGGCAACAGCCTCCTGTGCAGGGCTGGCGTAGAAGCGGATCTGTTTAAAAGGTCGAAATTTAGTCAATTGAGCATTAATAGCGACTGGGTTGTCTTGAGTGGTCTGGTACCTGCGCGATAGGAGCAGCAAATCGGGGGGCCACGCGGGACGGGCGCATGCACTGGCGAGCGACAGAGAAGTTCCGGGCAGCGATCATCTTGAAAGATCCCTTCAATTTCTTGGGGAGAAGATTAGAGGTGGTGAGGGGGAGGAATGAAAGAAGGAGAAGGGGAGAAAGAATCAAATCCCTCGGCGCCGCACCGATCCGACCGACTCTCAGACCGCATTGGTGGTTTCATTCCCCCCCGGCCCGAGTCCACTCTTTGACCTGGTGTCCACTCTTGACTACCAGCTATAGGGTCTCAGCATTTGATTGGGTTCTGCTATCAGATCTCGGTCTGCAGAAAGACCACCCTGTTTCTCCTTTGTATTTCAATTCGTCCTAGCTACTGCACTCCACCTGGCAATAATGGCGGACCTCGACGTCGCAAGCCACTACAACCTACCCTCCGAGTTCCCCGAGGAATGGCCGGCATCTTTAGACGTGGCCGATGAACCAGAAGAACAGCCAGTTCAGCGAACAGACTCCCGTCCACGCAAGTCCCGATACATAGCTCTCGAACGCAGTACCAGTGATTGGAGAGGCAAGTTTGGTTCACGAAGAGGGAAGGAGGGCAGAGACAATGCGCGGGAAGATGAGCCTGATCCCTTGGGTACAAGCGATAGCGTTCTCCGGATTCTCAAGCAGCGAGGAGTGCCATTGGAGGAAGAGGGCAAATCACGGTACCTGCTGTCATCGACATCATTCTCGCCCGCCCTATTCCTATCCCAGGCGCATCACTCAGCCTCTATCGAATCGCTGATGGGCGGCCTGGATAACTTGTCGCATTCCATCGACCAGAAGTCGGCGTCGCTGAAAGTGCTGGTGGAAGCCAACTTTGAGCGTTTTGTGCGTGCCAAGGCAACTATCGATAGCGTCTACACCGAGATGAGAAACCAGGGAGTTGATAAGGACCCGCGTTTGAGTCCCCGCAGGTCAGGACATTTCCGGAGCTACTCAGGTCAGCACCGAAGTGTATCTCCCGCCCCAGTGGTTGCCAAGAAGACCGCTCTGGTCAAGGAGAGCGAGTTCGGCATGAAGGGTATTAGAGGTCCTCTGGTTGAAGCTTCTGTCAAGGCCGAGGAGGTGTGGGGGCCGGCTCTTGGGGGTCGGGAACGAGAGCAGGTACTGAAGTCGGTGGTGGAGACTATGGAGAAACACCGCGATGTCTATGAAATTGGAAGCCACTTGTCCAAGTCCATCCAGCAACGTGATTACGATGCTGTCTTTGATCAGTATACCAAAGCAAGGACACTGGCCAATAGGGCGAAAAATATCGCAGAGCAGGCATCCACCTCCCGCCGACAACTAAACGACTCTGAGACACACACCATTTTGGCTATGGGCCGAATGTGGATGGACGTTGACCACCAAATCCACGATTTTAAGCGTGATCTCTGGAGGCGTCTTGCCGATGCCCCCACCACATCAACTACAAGCACAGCCTTAGGACCTGTGGAAGAACATATGGAGTTGATCGGAGCATTGTTGGAACTAGGTGTCGAAGACAACCCTATCTGGACATGGCTTCAGAGTCGTTATGAATTCTTGAAGACAAAGACCACAGGATTCTGTGACCGATGCAAGGTCGAAATTGAAATTTTAAGAAGAAGACTTGCTGGCGGAGAGAGACCAACCCCACAGGCTACAGCATCCTATCTCCGCCTGGCACCTCGAGATGGTGCGGTAGAAGTACCTGGGAGACTAGACACAGATCAAGTCATTGAGTTGTGGGAATGCATACAAACCTTCCTAACCCGACTTCTGTCCTCACAAAGTGGTTTACTGGGCGAAGTGTTGGATTTCTGGGAAGTCGCACAATCATTCATCGATGGCAATCGACAACGGCTTTTGCCCGCCGGGTTTGAAGGGGAGAGTCGCAAACATCACCACCTTTCAGACGACAATATTAAGGAACTAGAAATGGGTATTGCAGTGTTGGTCAATATCATTCGAGAGAACGTCGTGGCCCTCTTCACGGAACCCCCAACCGAAGATATCTCCCTACTCTTCTCGCCAATTCCGGCAAGTCCATCAACCCCAGAGTCGAGGGGTATTACACCGACGGAGTCCCGCTTCAAGCTGGATCCGAAGAACCTACCATATCCTCCCCCAAAGCTTGGAGAGCACTGGGAGGATTTCGCATTCTGGCCACCATTTTCCAATTCTCTCAGCGGAGTGCATTATCTGAGTAAATTCCTCACCACTGTAGGCACCGCTGCGAGCGAAATGGCAGCCCTAAAGCCGATTGGCGGCTCTGGGAAAACCTATGACCTCCTCAAAACCCTTGTCAGCATTGCCCGGGAACGATGTGCACGTGTGGCGTGTGCTGCCTGGAGTAAAGATGCGGAGATCTGCAGAATGTTGGAAGACTGGACACGCGATTCAGAGAAGCGTGATTTGACCAAGATGCCCGGGTTCTTTGTGGCTTTTGAGAGTGCTATCCTGGGAGGCATGCAAAAGATCCTTTACGTTTCGGAAGCTATGGCAAAGCCAGGTTCCGTGGATGTTGTCACTCAGCCGCCTGCGAAACTGCTTCAAATGGTCCGCTCTCAGTTCGTATCGAGTGTTTACAAAGCGTTAAGCAGCCTCGTCGAAAACGCCGAGCGCCTGACAACAGTAGATGAAGAAAATGAATGGATTATTGCTCGACCAGCAATGACAAGCCAAGCGACTGACGCTGCGTTGTCGATTCTCTCAGCTGATTCAGTCGATTCTTGGAATCGGGTAAGTGTCGGTCCAATTCGATGTGATACCTGCATAACTGACCACATAGACAGAATGTTCGAATCCTTCTTACACTTTCAAATCTCAAAGCTCTACAGGCCGACCATGTCCCACAGCTTATCTCGAACTTTGAGACATCCTTCTCAGTGAAGCTGACGGAAGAGGCCAAGACCGTCCGGGACGTGCTGAGCCAGATTGAAGACAGGTTATTCCAGTCATATATCACCCCGACTACTACATTATTGAACAAAACAATCATCGCTGGCATTTCATCTCCGGATTGGGAGCCGTCTGTTGACAGGCCGGAGCAAGTCCGCCCATATGTCTACAACACCATGCTGACCTTGGTGCTGGTCCACACAGAGATCTCCACAACCATTCCGTCTACTGTGTCACCAGGTGCTAGTCGCGCTGCGTCAAGCTCACCTTCCTCGCTGCTGGCCACCGTGTTAACACATCTCCTTTCTCAAATTTCTTCGTCATTACTTGATGCCTTCCGTGCTCGGTCCTCCTTCTCGCTAGCAGCTTTGATGCAAGCTACCCTGGACACCGAGTTCATTGCCCAGACTCTTTCCGCGTACATTACTGAGGAGGCATCAAATGTACAAAGCCAGATCTACGTCGAGCTAGATTGTCGTACCACAAACGAGGCTCGCACGAAACTGAAGGCCGAACTAGGAGAAATGCGAGTTATCCTAAAACGGCTCAGAGATCGGACGAAGGGCGAGTTTGCTTGTTTCAAAAAGCCGAGAAGTGGCGGTGGTGCAAATGGCGGAGGAGCCTCCAAGCCTTCCGCTGCGGCCGCCGCATAGGTTTAGCAAGTCAGTTAAAGAATCGAATATTGAATGCTTTGAATGTCTTTTTTTTTTCATATCCAACCGGGTATCATGAAAACATAGTCCACATCATGTGTAGTTCTTGCCTTTCCTCTCTAATTCTGACCAACCATCCGCTGCACGCGACTAAGCAGCGCGTTGCTCTCTCTGCCTAACCTCCTCTTCCCAAACTGGTCCGGCCGCTTCGCGCGCAACAGTTTCTCACGCTCATTTTGTTTCGCCTCGCGATCCTTCTGTCGTGCTTCCTCCGCTTTCCTCCGCTTCTCTGCAAACTCCATCTCCCTTGAGAATGCAGAGGGCTTTGGTCGGCGCTCCCTCTGTTTGCCCTCGCCCCGTGGGCGCTGTTCTGGTCTAGGTGCAGGTGCCGGCTCGGCCTCCGGCTCGTTCAACATGGCTATGCGATCCGGATGAAGTTCCAGAGTCGTTGTGTCTTCACTGGCCTTTTCCTCGTCCTTGCCAGTTGAAATTTCGTCCCCCTCGGCGGTATCGTACACGGATCTCCTTGGCGCGATGGCAAGTTCTTCGGCTTTGATCTTGGCATAGGCCTTCTTCACTTTGGCTTTGTGAATCAAGTCATTTTTTATCTTTTGGGCTGTTGTTGTTTGTTCGTTAGTCTCGTTCGAGGCATAGCTTTCAGGCATGCTCACTCTTGCGACGATATGTGCCATCTGGGAGGTTGGCGGGTCCAACGCTAAAGCCCTTGCGCTTCTTGATCGCGGGATCGCCCTTCGATGCTGGAGCAGCATCGCCGTCGTGGGTACGTTTCGGTGCCATGTTGATATCCAAACAAAACAAGTGTTTTTGTCCTGACGTGTGTTGAAATCGAAAGACTTTCGGAGAAGAAAAAAAAGTGGCGATCTCCGCACGGAACATCGGTCTCGGCCACTAACAGCTAAGTATGAATTTTTGAACAATATAACAGTTCTATACAACGCTTTTTTCTCTCTTGAATTTGGATCTAGAAGATCGAAATAATAGTTAATGAGCATTGAGAATATCGTCTACAATATCATCCACAATATGTGCAATATATGCAACATTATCGCAGATCCTATTGTGATTTTAGCTGGTCTACACACTATGTACCTTTTTTTCTCTCTATTTCTCCCCAACATCTGTCACTTTTCAGACATCGGGCCTCTAATGTCATTATTGAGACCTAAAGAATGCAAATATACAACATATACAATGTAGCCCTGGAGAACTCTCTACCCAATCCCTGCAACACAACGTCACTGATCCATCACATGACGTTCTCAGTCCGGATCTCCGAGATCGACGGGTGTCCACCCCATTCAACGACACAATGCACACGACCTACTCAATACTTTCTTCCTCTATTCAACCTTTTGACACATAAACTGGGCATTCATACTTTTGAGACAGCAAAAGCCAGGCCAATGGCGTGACGTACAAAGTACTCTCTATATAACCCGCTATCTCCACCAATCAGTAAAATCACAGACAGCATATACCCGCATCATACTGGTACACCGCATTCAACTTGGACCCCCCACCACGGCACAGCTCGGCGCTGGTTTCAAAAGGTGTAACGTGGGTGGCCTCCTGAAATGTCACTAGCATCTCAGGCCTTATAGTCTGCCCTTATCACGCCACCATGCCCCTATTTCGAGATCCGGATCGGCGGCGTCATTATCTATGGTCACCCGACCATGGTAATCGCGAACAGCCGACCACAGGGTCCTCCCAGTCCCAGCTAAATGATCTCAATCACCCTGAGATAGCTGCCCCAGAAATGGCAACCAACTCCATGCATTCAACGGCGTTGGATCCGCCCAAGTCGTGGGCGAATGACCGGGAGGAACTCATACACCGCATCAAAGAACATTCGCCTTGGAGACTTCAACATATGGTATGTGAATCTCTTCGTGAATATGCAAGGACATATTTCCGTTTTCTTTATTTTCGTTAAATTCTCTGTCTTTTCTTTGATAGTCCAAATCTCAAGTATATATCGGCTAACATACCAATAGTCCCCGGATAGGCACAACAGTGATTTATTTAACTCTCGAATTTCACCAGAGCAGTCACAGACAGCAGCAAGAGAACATGAAGGCCGCTCTCTTAGCCGAGAACATCACACCAAAGTGACAGAGGAACTGGGATCGCCGGCCGATATCCAGAGGCCTCGATCCGCATTACACTCCGGTGATTTCAGGGAAGGCGCCACAGATCCCCATGACTTAAACGCCCCTGGACCTCCTTTTCCTGGGCCCAGTTCGGCTTCTCCCTATGTTAACTGTAGCTCCTCTCCTACTACTCCCTGGTTTGGAGCACCGATTTTGCCACCCGATTTGCGAAAGACAAGCACATCAAATGAACATCGTCAATCTGATGATATTGTGAATGCTCGCGCTCGTGCGCCGTCAGTGGGTTCATTCTCATCAAGCTATATTCTGAAAGCTCCCACCAGTCCCCTTGTACACCAAGCGAATAACACCGACTTGGACTTTTCATCCCGTGTTGACCATGGGGATGTTTCGGAAGCTTTGGAGAGAAAAAACCGTCGCCGTACTCTGCCGCCAGAGACATTTGGGAATCTCCAATTCTCCCTACCAAGCCATCAAATTCCCAGCCTTGGCAGTCCATCTTCACCCAGACGGCAGCAGGATATCTTCACCAATCAAACGTCTTTGCCTCGCCGGTCATTGACCTCAGCGTATAGTCTTCAACTGGCACCGTCCCCCGGTGGGCAGATCGCACCATCGCGAGTAAGAAGGCCGTCTTTTGTCTCCGATATCTTGTCAAACTCCCATGCACCGATGGTAGGGTCTTACGAGGAGTCAATTTTACGCGGGAGAATGTCAATGAATCCTTCCAAGCCGCTGGATTTCACGGCTCAGATCGGTGTCCTGGGCAAGGGGAAATGCAAAGGCCATCTCAAATGTCCGCCACATGTTACGGTGCCATTTTCGGTTGTTTTCTACAGCTATCCGACCTCGGGGTGTGGCCGCTCAATCTCAGATGACAATCCAAGCCCCTATGTGGGACAAATTGACTTGGAAAATTCCCTTCCAAAAGAGAATCCCAGTCCGACTCGACGTCGCAGGCGACATCCAAATGCCACGGGACTCCATGAAGACACTCCCATCACAAATGCAGCAAACGATACTCGTACTAGTGGTGCTGACTCACAACGCCGTCGGGAAAAGAAGAACCGGAGGTCAGAATCGCCTAAATGTCCCCCAGGAGGGTCTTACCGGATTCCGCAACAAGGTCAACTACAAATCATCATCAAGAACCCACACAAGACAGCGGTCAAGCTTTTCCTAGTTCCATACGACCTCGGTGATATGGAACCTGGCACAAAGACCTTTATTCGGCAACGCAGCTATTCGGCAGGTCCGATCATCGATATGCCGCTCAGTGCACGAAAGAATTTTGGGACCGATCGCCCTGAAGCTTCCTTGAATCCCACAGAAGACCCTCAAGACAAACCCACCCTGCGATACCTCATTCATCTGAACATCTGTTGTCCCGCGCGCGGTCGCTTTTACCTACATTCGACTATTCGCGTGGTTTTTGCGAACCGCGTCCCGGACGGCAAGGAGAAATTACGGAATGAGATCCAAAATCCCGAGCCTCGGTACACACCATACAAGCCATCCCGAGAGTCTTCCATCTCGAGTACTGCGAGCGCAAATGCGCGCCTGGGAGTTGAACAAACTTCCAGCAGACGGAGTGTAGTCCAGGGAGTGATTCCTCATCTGCATCCACATGTGTCATCTCCTAGCGAATTCCCCTCACAGCTAAATGTGCCAAGACCCATGGATGTTACGGGTGGCCCTGAAAATACTCCTCCTTCACATAGTGTATCTCGGTACAACGAGCTCACCAAGAACAATAAGGATTACGGGCGTCATCCAAGCGGTTCAGAAGCCAGCGAGAGCCTACTCGCCAAAAGACTCCGAGGCCTCGATGTGCACAGGTCAGAGTCCACAGTAGACGAACGGCATCCGCGCAAATTAGGCTTCTATGACCGACCATCTCCCACGCACAACCACCGCCCTCGCTGAATGAACCCACTGCAATATACTCCAAGAACCTCTACCTCATCATTCAACATAGCAATAGCACCACCCGACACCTATTTCCCACGCGTATCTTGGCCCTGACTTAAAAAAAACATATCATCTTATGTCCTGTCTGCACCATTCTCGAAGAACAACACAGAACTGCATGACAATAGGCGCAACTGGTTTGCAGCCGATCCCCTGTTTATACTAACCCACATAATAGCGTCGAGTATTTTATTTATCCAGATTCATGCCAAGGCGATGTGTGTATTTCTTTTCCCTGTCACTTGGGCGTTCATTTGATCTGCTTTCATAAACAGTGTTTTATGGATATATTGGGGAGCCCAGGCGCATGGGTCATTGACTATACCCCCTTTATATAACTCTTTTTGGTATCTGCTTTTCTCTCCGTATGGGTTTACCGTTTACACTAGGTTTATCTGTTAGTTAGGTTAATTTGATGCATTTTGGAATTAGTTATATATATTCCGCTATGTGAACTTCGTTGCTTCGCGATTTTGACTTTCCTGCGTGTCTACCAACAACATACACAAACGGCGGATATATATGTGGGACTTTTTCACATTCAAGAATAGTGATTTGTAGAAAGACATATGGTAAAATTTTAAGAATAAGCGAGTTGGAGTTCTGCAATTTATATCTACAGAGCGCTAGATACAGCAACTAAATTATCCAAAACAACAAGTGTCAAGCATCTTAGGAAGAAGTCTATGTGAGCTCGACCTGTCGAACATGATGTATTACAATTCTTTGGAGTCCATGAAACTAAAATTCCATGGACATCTTCAACCAATGAGCCCAGCTTAACCAGCATGCTCCACAATCTCGCTCACCAGCACGCCGTTCTTGATGTAGCTCTTGAACTGTTCGGGCAGAGGGCACTCCTTGGTATCTTCATCGGTGCCCTCCGGCGGCGGAAGGTTGATGTTAATAGCGGAGCACTTGCTAGTGAAGATCTCAGTGTTGAGGCTCTGCTGGCCGAGGTAAACGGAAGCACCATCAACCTGATCCAGCAGCAGAGTGGGGACCGTGCCGTCGATCTGCACGGCGAACTTGGGGCACTTGATGATGTCAAGACTACTGACTAGAGAGTCGACGATAAGGGAGAGACCAACGCAGTTGTCGATGGCAATAGCGTTGGCCTTGTTGGAGACCTTGATGATGGTCTTGTTGCAGCGGGTAATGAGGATGGACTGGTTCTGCTGCGCGGGGATCTCGATGATCTCGCCAGGAGCATCAAAGTTCTCGATGAGCCACTTGCTGCCCTCGAGTTCCTTGCGGGGTGGCTTGCGCGCGCGCATGTTTTCGGGCTTGGGCTTTTTGTTAGGTGCTGGCGACTTGCCCCGCACGGCGCTGGACCCTTCGGACTCCGGAACGATTGATCCAGCACGCAGGTTGGGGTTCTTGTGTGTCATCTCCGATTTGTCGACCTTGCGAAGGGTGGAGGTGATACCCTCTCCTTGGTTGAGTTGGTTGAAGACGGCGCCCATGTCTGCTGCTGGTGCTGCGGGGGCCGGAGCGGGGGGAATACCAGGAGGCGGAGGTGGAGGAGGAGCACCGCCACCAGGGACGTTGAGGGCAGGGACAGGGGGAGGAGGGGGAGGGGGAGGAGGGGCACCGCCGCTGACTGGAGCAGGTCCGCCCTTTGCCTGCTTCAAAGCTTCCAAAGCATCAATGCCAGACTCATTGTTCCATGTCAGACCCTGGGGGAAGTGCTTCTTGAGATACACCGCAAGAGCCTTGAAGTTTTGATAGTAGGCTTTGATGTATTCGACATGTGCCTTGTCCCTGTCAAACTGTCAGTAATGGGGTTCCTCCAAAACATCATCAACAGGAGTGCTCACTTGTCCTTGTACTCCTTCAGCACCTTATTTCCGTAGTATTCAATGCCACCGATCATGTCCGTGACAAACTCCGCGGGTTTGCTTTCAAAGAACCAAGCAAGCGCGACAATACCCTCCGCAACGGCGCTCAGGTGGTTGAATAGCGGCGATGCTCTGTTTGATTCACGAATGTTGTTAATGCTATCGGATGCTTTATGCAGATCCGTCATTAACTCCGGGGGCTGGGTATCAGGCTTCTTGGCCTTCGTCACAACGAAAAGATAGGTACGTTCAGCTTGGAAGGCTTGAAGGACGGCTTTGGACTATAGATCCAGTCAGCAACTACTCGCGGCATATTAAGTTCCCAGAATTCAAAAACATACTTGCTCAGCAACCAGACCGCCGATCTTCTCTCCCAGGTTGACAAAGTTCTGAACATCTCCCTTGATCAACGCATCGAAGTCCTGAATTTGCGGTGGAACCGGGGCGGCCACAGGGGCTGCGGGCGGAGGAGGGGAAGGCTTAGGGGGTGGTGGAACAGCGGGTATGGAAGAAGGAGAGCCGTTCAAGGACTTTGGCGCGCTAGAGTCATCGTATGACATCGCCATGTCCTCCAAGCGTGAGGTCGCTGCCTCCAGCCTGTAGATAAGTTCAATGTCAGTCAAGTGTTCCGGATGTAGGTGTTAAACGGCTTAGCGGGGATTAAACCAAAATCAAAATGCCATGAGTCAAAAACCGCTAGCATTATGGATACATACCGCTTGATGAGGGTGGTGAAATTATGCATATGGCCGCCGGACGCCATGATAGGCAACACGTTGCTCCAACGGTGGAAGTGGAAAGATAAAGGGGATGATGCAAGTAGGTTAAAATCGAGGGATTGTCGAAAAGCAAAACCCCCTCTATTAAGATTTAGGCACTCGAATTCCGAAAACACTCGGGATGATAGGGAGTGGAAAGAAGACAAAGGCCGGAGCTCCTGAGGTCCGCAGATGACGGCTCTAGACGTGGTATGGTATTTACAGCGGGATCCGCTGCTGGAAATGACGTTGCGGGGTATATTTCGTAATTATATTACCATCCGATCCACTGTAATGCGATAGTCGAAACTCCCCCAACACTCCGGTTCTTTGTCCCTCTGAACAACCTTCTTCTTTGTCGTGTCTATACATAGACTTAGCTGCAAATATGGTGACTCAGGATCAGCCCATTGAGGTTGAGTTTTGCACCTTGGGAATGTTCATAATTGGTATGGTTGACTTCATCCCTCAAAGTGGGATATAGACTCACAGGTGTATTGTTATACAGATGATATTGATTTCGGCGGCTCAAGGCCGAGTGTTAAAAATATCATCGGTGGTGCAGCATCATTTGCAGTCGTGGGTGCCCGCTTGGTCTCAGGCTCAATGTATGCACGATCTGTGAGCTGGATCGTGGATGTTGGCTCCGATTTCCCTGCCGAGACGCTTGATGTAATCAAATCATGGAACACAGCCTGCGTTTTTAGAGAGGACGCTAGCAGGCTAACAACGAGAGCCTGGAACGGGTATCATCCCGATGAGAAACGTGGTAAGTTTCCGGTGATATCTCTTAAAGGAACGTAACGCGGTGACTGACTGGGCAGACTTCAAATACTTGACCCCAAAATTAAGACTCGAGCCTGAAATGTTGTCTGATCCACAGGTGTGGTCCAAGACATTCCATATGGTCTGTTCTGCATCTCGTTGTATGTCTATAGTGCATGATATTCTGCAGCGACGGGATGAATTGCGAAAGGCAGGGAAAGCGCCGTCGGCCGCTTATGCTTCCAAGCGCCCTATCTTCGTCTGGGAGCCAGTCCCTGATCTCTGCACTCCAGAAGAGCAGGACAAGTTCTTCGCCGCAAATAAAGTTGTGGATGTGGTGAGTCCTAACCACATGGAGCTTGGCATGATGTTTGAACATCCTGGTTGGACCGAGAAGAGCCAACTAGGCCAGCAGCTAGTCCAAAGGATTACGGACTCGGGAATTGGCCCCGATGGAAATGGTATGCTGGTCATCAGGGCAGGAAAGGATGGTAGCTACGCCTACTCAAAGTCTGGCAAGATTTGGCTCCCCGCATATCATCAACCCGATGCCTCAGGTGCTACGCCTGTGATCGACCCCACGGGTGCGGGCAACTCTTTCCTTGGTGCTCTAGCCCAGGGCATGGTTACCGAAGGCCGAGAGCCATTCCAGGTTATTGGCTCTGTTCTATCAAAATCCGAAACTTGGAAGAAAGCCCGTGATTCTTGGGGTAATTACCAACACTATCCTATGGCGCTCATTTGCGCAACCGTTGCAGCCGGTTTTGTGGTAGAGCAAATCGGTGTGCCGCACATCGATGTTGATGGAAACGGAAAGGAATTGTGGAATCAGACTGAATTCACGGAACGTGTCCGCCTGTACACGCAGCGATTATTGAGGACACTTGAAGAGTCTCCTCAGAGACATCTCTTGGTCAATTGACCAATGGCCCAATGAGGAACGCCCTTTTACTGTCATACAGCACACAAGTGATCAAATAGTAGAAAAACAAAAAGAAAAGGTTCCGTCCCGCTGAGAATCCGCCTACAACCGCCGTCGATATGCTGGACCTTCATGAGTCGTTCTTGGCGGCTTGTTGGTTCTCGTGTTCCCGAATTTGTCTGCTCCAGCTATAAGTTAAGAAAAGTAAATGTCAGCATAAGGTATACCGAGTGACATAGGGTTCGGGTAACGGACTATCGGCTGGGGAAGAAACGGCCGGGTTCGGGCATCTTGTCACGATATTCCCGATCAGCGCTGATGCTGAAGGCGACAGCAGCGACACCAATGACAAATGCGCCCATGATCGCAGTGTTGGCCCTCCAATTAGCTGGCTGGGCGTACCAACCACCAGAGGGGGACCAAACTTCCTTGGGGTACCTGCCAGATCGAATCCATTAGCTCCTGGTGGGGGTATGAAAATCACGAGAACCTACGGGATCTTTCCACCTCCACCCATTGTGACGAAGATGCAATTGAAGGGTTTGTTAGGGAAATAAAGCGAGCGTAGGGCTGGTAGTTCTTGAAGGTGGAAGCCGAAAGGGCCGTCTCGGTCGCAGGTCTGATGCCAAGGCGCTAAGGCTATATTTAGTTTAGCGCAACCTCACACGA